ATCTATCCTATTAGTTCTGTCCCTTTAGAGAACCCTGATGAAGACACCAACCATTTTGTTTAGGAGCTGGCCATAAGTAAATTGAAGATGCTCATTCCAGAGGTGATCTGCCCCGTATCTTGGAGGAAGGAATGCTGCCCAGACAGGTTCTGAAGAATTGGAGCGGACAGGCTGTGCTGGATCCCCCCAGACATCTATTAGCATTAGATCACACCCTTTTTGTCCAATCATATTTCTACACACCTGTCCATACTTCATTAAGCCTAAGTGTAAAAAATGGATAGTTTATCCTCGATCTTTAGGTCTTCATTCTGAAGATTTCTATGTCACTTAAAACTATCATCAGGTTCCCATCCAGGACTAAGTCCAGGGAACTCAACCTGGTTAGTGTAGGTCCTGGGGTTCCCCTGCTGAACCATCTAGCAGCTGAGCCATAGGAGAGATGTGGGCCGAAGCACTAGTATAGGAAACGGTGCCCTTGGTACTCAGGTGGAATGGGCACGCTAAACTGCTGTCTCCCAGTTTAAGGACTGTGGGCTGACCAAGTTCCTCTTAGAATTGCAGACACTAATGAGCAATCTCAGGACCATCGATTTGTCCAACAGTAAGATGGAGAACCTACTGCCTTTGCTGATACAGAAGTTCACTGAGCTGAAGAACCTATCCCTGAACAACATAAACTGCTCTGCCTAATGAGATTATGCAATCCTAAACAAATCTAGAGATACTATGCCTAAACAGCAGTCACCCGAGAAAGTTGCCATCTACCTTTGGGCAACTCTCTACCCTCAAGACCCTGAGCCTCTCTGGGAACCAACTGGGAGCACTATCACCCAACATTGTAGCCTAGGCCACCAGAGGTGGTGGACCTTTCCAGGAACCAGATTCGAAGTATACCTGACATAGTAGGAGAGCTGCAGGTCATCAGACTCATCCTCAACTGGAAGAAGATATCTCAGGTCTCAGTAAAAGATATCTTGCTGTCCTTGCATTAAAGTTCTTTACCTAGAAGAGAACTGTCCTGAGCTCAGCATGGTTTCACAGAGCATCTGCAGTGACTCCCATATCTGTCCGCTTGCTATGGAAGGTGATCTTTTTGAAATAAAGAAACCTCAAGAACTGGAAGGTTATGGTAAGTACATGGAGAGGTTCATGTCCACCAAGAAGTTTGCATGAAGTTCTCCAGGTCTGTGGGAACCTTACAGGATACTGACTTGGAACCTGTTGGAGTGTGACTGATTGAAAGGCTCCTGTTGTTGTGAAGGGGTATCTGCAATAAGAAGATGATACTCCAGGAGATTATGTTTTTACTCAATGATCTTTTTTTTTTTTTTTTTTTTTTTTTTTTTTTCAGGGCTCTTCTCAACAAAGCTAAAAGAAAGGAAATCAGGAGACAGGAAAAGTTCTCCATTTGAGCCATGGGTATGACAGTGAGCAAGGTTGGTCTTCAAAATCATCATTAGTTTGGCATTAAGAAATCACTACCTAGCTGCTATTTTTATGGTGAGGGAGTGCTGCCTGGTAACAGAATAACTCCACACCACAGCTTGAAATTTCATTTAGTTTCAATGTGTGAGCTTTCATAAAGTCAGTTGCCATTTCATTTCTATGTTAACACTTCATATTTTTATGAAATTCAAATAATTTGTGAGAAGATGGTATAGTTAATCTAAGGATTTATTATTTTATTCCAGTCCGTCAGTTCAATTGCAGTGCTTATACTTGGAATTTAGGATTTACATAAATATGGGACTGTTTGTCTTGATTAAAAGCACGCTTTGTCAGAGAAGCACCAACACAACACTAAAAAATGTTCCCCAAGGCTGCAGTAGCAAATTTTTTACTATTTCAGGCGACTTATTGATAGAGGGCTCTGAGGAGCTAAAACTGTGTATGAAATATTTATAAGATAAAAGCCATTTTAATAATCAGTATTTTCTTAAAGATTTGTTAGAAATAATGTCTTCTTTCTGGTAATCTTTCCTCCTTTTTGTATTTATAACTCTACTAATAAAATTATCTATCAATAAATAATTGCTATATTTTAAAACAATAAAACAAAAAACTATGATCAAATAAATTTGCTATGATTATCTCTTGTTAACTGGTCTTTGTTATAGGAGAGTCATCTACGACCCTTACAAAGGGGAGGAAAGCAAACACCTCCTTTCTGCCCCTGCAGTTCTATTCTGAGCTGAGGGCAGAGGGGTCAATTCCATTAGGTGAGTTATCTCTGTCTCTGGTCACCTGTATTTGAATGTTGAATTACTCTAACATTAAACGTAAGTTGTAATTTATTTCATATGATATATAAGCACTCTAAGACATTCAATCATTTTGTTATCTGTATCTAAAACAAACATCTGGACATCTGGAGCCAGTTCTCCTGTGAAATATGATCACAAATGTGTCTGAGGTCAATATTTGATCTATTGCTTTTTCATCTGAAACACACAGACGAACGAAATGACTATTAGCGTCACAACAAATTGCTGCTTTTCAGCCTCTCAAGCCGATTACTTTGTGTGAGAATATTGAAGAAGAAAGTGTAGAATAAACATCTGCTAAACTTATGCTGTGGGACTCAAATTTTAATGGTCATAAGAAAACTACTACAGAAATAATCACAAAACAAAACAAAATTTAAAGTAAAAGATTAAAATAATATAATAATATCTGAAAGAATATATTTATTTTTTAACTGTGTATTATTTTCCCAGAAGTGGACTGGATATTATTTAAAACACAAGAGAAAAGTCTATGACCTGAATTCTAACCTCAAGGTTTGTATTATTTTATTGTAAAGATAAGAAATAAGAAGATATCTAGGAATATAAAACAGTCGATTAAAAATGTGATCAGACATATTCAAGAACAATATATTGTAGACATAGAAAGAAAAAATAAATGGAAAGTAAGGATATCTGGAAGAAGACTTGATTTATGAAAAAAGACTTGAGTGAGTACGTCTCAAAGAATATCCAGGATTTCTGGAGATGAAGCGAGGAAAGTACAGTCTAAGTGGAAGAAACAAAATGAACAGAGGTTCATAATGTATGGGTTCTTAGCAGTCTGATGAAGCACGTGGACTCCACAGAAAGTTGTGGTTTTTAATAATTTTTTTAATTTGTATTTTTGTGAGTACATAGTAGGTGTTATAGTAGTATATTTCTAGGTTATATGGAGGCCTGATAGATAAGAAAGCAACAATATGAAAGGGGCTCCATGTTGGGGAGGGCTCCAAGTGGGGAAGAACAATGAACAATCTTTCGGACAGGTGGCTGATCTCATAAACAATGACCTCCTTGTCCTGTGGCCACAATGACCTCATTCCACAAGTAGCTCCCTCCAGCACCACCATATAAAATGTTCTTCCAGTCCCTGCCTCTTTGCAGACAGCCCTGTCTCTGCTGTGCTGCCTGTTGCAACCTTGCAATGTATTTTCATGCTTTCTCTAATAAATCTGCCTTTCTTTACCTACAACTGTCTTGATAAATTCCTTTACCCCCTGTGTCAATGGCCCCAGTTAGGCACTACCTATGACAAGTTACATGAAATATTGTGATATAGGCATGCATTATATGATAATCACACAGGGTAAATACGGTACCCATCACCTCAAGCGTTTATCCTTGTGTTACAATCCAATTATACTCTTAGTTATTTTAAAATGTACAATTAAGTTATTTTTTACTATAGTCACCCTGTTGTGCTAGCAAATACTAGAAAGTTTTTAGAAGTGCAAAAACAGTAAGAATAAAGTTTTTTTAAAAGTATAGATGAGAAAACATTGAAATGCAGTTATTGAAATTAAGTAATGTTTGAATATAATAATAAATATATTTATTTACTTAAATATTTATTTTGATGTCATGAAATTCAAACTTCATTTGATAGAGTATTTTAGTTATTATTCCAATTCCTTTTTATCTCAGGAGAAGCTTAGGAGATATTTCCCCACAGAGAGGATTTTATTAGTATATTCAATAATAAGATCCAGCAGTGGGTCCAAGGAGTCCCACTATTGAATTAGTAGTGGGTTGCAAAGCCTGAACGTAAGTGATATTTTGAGATATGTGCAGCAACTATAATGGGATATGAATATGTCTATTAATTCTATCAGCAAATTCATAGTTGCTGCTAATGACTTCGGTGGTCTGTGGCATACATTCACAATGGAAAGAAATACTAACTTTCAGTTAGAAGTTAAAATAATGCTATAATATTTTCCCAAACAAAGTTTCTGAATCTCTGCAATTTTATCCATGGACTTCTAAGTTTCCTGTGGACTCAGACTAAGAATCTAGAGAAGTGGATGGAAAGCGATACTTCTTTAAACACCCTGTGGGTGTGTGGTACAGTAACAAGTCCTTCATACTATTCTTACAACATGCTAGAAGCAGGAAATGGTTGTAAATGGGCAATGTTACTTGAAAAATGAGAAAACTGAGGCTCAACAGTATTATGTAACCTGCCTAGGGTCACATACAGAATGAATATAAGTTATACAATTAGAGTTTGAATATCCTAATCTAAAGCCTTTCTTTGCCTTTCCCACTGTGAAAAACTACCTAGAGAATCCGCAGAATGTTTTAAATAAGCAGCTAGAAGATAAACACAACCAGAGCAAGAAATTGTTTTCAAGAGCAGTAGAAATAACAACAGGGAATGTGGGGTAGGACCCCCTAAAAAAGCATACACTGAGAAACAAAGCAAATGCTTTTGCATATACAAAAACAAGCCCATCTGGGATACGATAATAAAATCAATGTTTCAGGAAAAAAATAATCTGATGGTAACAGTTCAATGGATTGCAAAGGTAAGGATTATTATATTATCTCTCCAGAAATTTTATAGTAGGTCTAAAATAATACATAATCGTTAAATGCTTTATCTAAAATGAGTTGAATCCTTTTATTAATTTTCTGAAGCAGTTTTGGGGTTTGGTTTTTTCAAGATCTATCCTTAAATATAGCAACACACACAAAATAGTTACTTACCAACACTTGTACAACTTTCACCATCTACATCCAGCTTCCAACCTTCATAACATGAGCACTTAACTGTGTGCTTGTGCTGCTCACACACTTGGCTGCACTTTAGATGGTTGCTACAGTAATCCACAATTTCACATGTTTTATTGTCTTTGTTGAGTTGAAGTCCTTCAGGGCAGGAACAGACAATTCCTCTTCCAGGAACAACAGAACAGTGGTTGCTACAGCCTCCATTGTTCAGCGAACATTCATCTAGAGGGACAGATTATAGGTCTTATCAATTGCTTTCCTCAGTTAAATACTAATCACTGAACTCAATTCTCTAAGCCTACAATTAGCCTACAAATGAAGATAAGAAAGCCCTCTTTGGCTTATTTTTTCTTCAGGGATTGGTATAGAAATGATAGAATTCATCCAAAGGCCAAATTTAATTCTATATGATAGAAATTGTAAATGGAAGATTTTCATTTCTATAAAACTTGGGAGTATAGTTTGCTTTACCCCATGGATGTAAAGTGAGCTCAGTGTTTCTATCACAACTGGAAAGATTATGCTGAGCCTTTTAGCAGCTGTGCAAAATCATTTGTAGAGGTCTTCCAAAAAAGATGTATATACCATGATGATCTGAATATTAGACATATCTTGATGTTAATAAATTAACAAGTATATCCATATACACATATATGAATATATATACATAATGTCTATGTATCTTTTGCAACACTTGCACAGTCTATTTTGGAGTTATAATGTAGAACAGATTACTTTTTATCCTTTACTGGCTGTGGGCATTTATTTTTAAGTTATGTGAATTGTATATTGTGCCCCATATATTGGTTAGTAGGATTCATTCAATGACGCCATGGAGACATCATAAGCAAAACACTAAAAAGAAAAAAAAAAGTTGTCCTGGTATTTTGGCTGAAATAATGAGCAATAGTATTGATTACACAGAAAATACGATTGATTATATAGATAATATGATTAGTTTGTAAAAAAGATTAGCTTTTTAAACAGCATTTAAATATACAGCTGTCCTTTAAATATATTTATTTATTATTCTACTTCATCACCAAATTGTAAGCTCCATGAGGGTACAGAAAATATCTCTTCTGTTTACCAGTGTATACCTAACATTGAGTAACGAGTTAAAAATATTTGATGAATTTTTTAAAGTAGAAAAATTGTATAAAAGCACACATTATCCTACATTTTAGTCAGAATTGTCTCTTTGAGAAAATTTCAATATGCCACTCTTATAACCTTGAAGAAAATGGCAGATAACTGTCTTTGAAACCACACCATTACCTACCACTGTGTACCATTAGGTACATAGTAATAAGGCTGAAAGAAGCTTTGTCTTTCTTGGCTTTAAAAATATTTTCAAGTGGATTTCAAACCGTATTTAATTGTGTATGTTTTGAGATATGCTAAAAAGACTATTGTCTAATAATTGGTAAATTGCAGTAATATTTATTTATATAATGCAAATATTTCTGATTGTCTATGAAAATGTATCTAGTACAAAAATTGGCCTGAAATGTAAGGCTTTTAAAAACATATCTACATTTTAAAAGCTCTGTATGAGTCAACTCTTCTTCATATAATGTCACCATCAATGAAGCTACAGTAATAAGAAAAGGAAAATGATTATATTAACTATTTTCTCTAGCAATTCAAGTTTCGTATTATTTTGAAGAAAAAAACAGGTTCAGCTCTTGGTTCCTCCAAATATGTTTCTCACCCATAATCAAAAGCATTTCAAAACAGCAGTCATTTCAAAGTATTTGCCCCATTTTAGTTCGATTGACATTCTTTTCCCAGAAAATAACTGTAAAGAAATGTCATTGTGCCCAGGAGGCTTAAAAAAAAAAAAAAAAAAAAAAATTGTTACAATGCTTTTAGCTTATTTCAAATGTCACTGTTTTCTCAGTACCAAAGTGTCTCTTTCTATTACTATCTGTGGAATGAAGTCACAGATTTTAGGTTAAATGAAATTCACTTTGAAATCTGAAATTGAATATATAAAATTAACGCCAATATTTGCATAATTAGAACCTGTTAATTCTTACTTAGCCCTAAACCTGTCATGAATCCTGCAACTTCTTCTAAATTTTTTTATTACCTGACAAAGACTTCTTGACCAAACACTAGTCAGGATCCTCTAAATCCTCTTCTTGGCTAGACCTCAGCCTTGGCCAATAAAAACTGCAGACTCCCAGCACAAATGATTTCATCCTGCTGCCCTCACCTCCACCGCACCCCCCACCCCCATGCCCCTGGGCCAAAATACATAATGAGAGACTTGAACAATCACTAGCATATTGTCCAACAGTTTAAATGTATGTCCCTCGAATGACCCCAGCCCCCACATTAAATTACCTGCCTGAGAAAGTTCATGATAATAGGCAAATATGTCCTGAACCTTCTCTTAGAGCAGTTGCTTTAGAAAGCTTGCAATTATAAATCCTTTCTGTGCCTTTTTGAGATGTAAATCTTCTACTACCCAGAACTGCCTTCTAAGGAGCCGAGAGCTTTCTTTTTGAAGTGCAAACACCTGAGAAGGTAACTCTGACTCTCATTCTCCCTCCCAGCCCAGTGGGTGTCTTACTCTCACTTGCTGCCACTGCCTCTTGTCACAAAGATGAGAGAAGTCTGTTTTCCCCTCCAGTTAAGCACTAATTATCAAACCCAGGTGGCGTAATCTTGTGGAGCAGCCCCCTTAACCCCCTTAGTGCCTTTTCCTTAGCACACCCCAACCTTCAAAAAGTTTCCAGTTTTTAGTTTCATGAAGTTGAGCTCAGTTCACAGTGGACTCTCTATCACAAGAGTTACTAATGAATAAAATCTTTACTTACTGTTTTACTAGTTAGCATCTGGCTTTATCTTTGATATATTATTATAACAAGAATCAATATAACTCCATTTTAGAGTAATTAAAGTCTATTTTCGTTTGTTTCTTAAGTGCAAATCCTTTTTCTTTTGAAAGTATTTAAAAATTTCCCTAAAAAAAAAAATAATCTGTTCACTAGAATTAGAAGATTTACATTCTTGGGTTCTCCTTTTCCTTATATACATTGCATATAACCATGGAAAAGACAGTTTAATCTTTTGGCCAGTATTTGCTTTCTGTTTTCATTGTTCTAACTCTTCATGACTTCACCTCTGAAAGAGTGGGGTGTGTAGTTCAATATGACACAATGCTGCAATCATGATAAAATTGTCTTTTTACTTCCTCTGGTACTTCCACACCAGATTCCTCCTTATAATCTATTTCAGTCTCTATAATCTTTTGAAATGTTTGGACAAAGCTCTTGAAGTAATGACTATATGGCTAGATAAGAAGTGGTTTTCAATTCTGAAGTAGACAAAGAAATTAATTAAGAGGAAATTCCCTCATTACTCTTTTACTTTCCTAATTTGGAAAGTGAAGAATAGGAAAATAAGGTTGAGTTTTTTTATCATTGTCTTCATTTTTCTCAATGGGTGTACTTTCTGTCTTTTGCCTTTTATTTCTTTAACTTGAAGGACGGGGAAAAGGTAGAAAAGTACTAATATTTTTCAATAACTGTAGGGCATCAGGCATTATTATCATGATTACCTGATAGATAACCATTGCCTCTATTTTAAGAAAATCAAGATTTTAAGAAATTAAGTCACCTACTCAAATGACTTAATTGAAGAAAAGAATTTAAGCTTGTTGAAGTCTAGTTTTTCCATAATTACATTATATTTTCTTTTAAGCGTATTGATAATTTCTTTTAGAATTGTATTTACAACCTTCATGAGCAAACCTCTCACCAACCACTACAAAGAATGAGCTGGGCAAGAAAGAAATGAATACAGAAAAATGAAGTTTGTCATCTTTTATAAATTTTTTGCTCAATTTTAGTTTTAGTGTTTTTTTTTTTTTTTTTTTTCTTCTTGGCTGAATTTTTTTGTATAATTTTAGCCTAATCAAATGAAGACTGTTGCATTCACTGTTTCAAGGTTATTTTACAAAATCATGACTTAAAAAAAGACATTTTCCCACACATTTTAAAAAATCATCCTTTTTTATATCATTCAGTATGCTATTAATGCTAATTTGAGGTCAAAATATAACTTTAGGCTTCAATGTAGTTGTCTTTCCTACTTTCAATCAGTCAGCTTCATTATTTCCTAAAGTCATTTCCTCACAGCCTCAAGTCATCTCATTATTGTTTTTATCATTCTGTAAACTGTTCTTCATTATCTATTGATGTCACCTTCAGTATTATCTAGAAAACACTTTAAAAAAAAATCCCTTTACTAAATCTCTGATCTCCCGAAAGAGAAGGAAATGTAATTTTCTTTTGTATGTGCTGGTTGGTAAGAAAGATTGCTAGTCAACGTGATTTCAAAGCTCATTGAAATCATTTTAACTAGATAAGGCATACTAAAGAAAGCTGTTGTATGAAGACTAAAAACTTGCAGGAAAATTATATTAAATTGGGTAATATTCAATTGGTTTTATTACCCAGTCTCTTCCCCTTCCTAAAAATCAGTTTCTATTGTAATGATTAGAAGGCTTATCAAAATATGTAGGGTGGTGGTGAGCTCTATCCCACAGATGAGGAATAACAAGTTTTCCTTGTTCTGAGTGACTCACTTAACAAATAATCAGTTCAACTAGGGGAACATCATTGGCCATCCAGAGATCTAAATGATGAATACAGCTCTTCAATTAAGTGACCTCAATATAGGCTAGCTTTTCCTGTCTTATTTTCAGAAATTTCTGATCACATTTAAGACTTTTACTGCAGCTTTAGAGTGTCTGAAAAATGTAGATAAGGTTCAGTGCTAAAAGCTACATTTAAAGGGAATGAAAGGAATGAATGCTACTATATTAAGTAACAGCAAGTGAACTAAAAGGTTGTAGTTTTCATGGAGAAGCCAGTGCAATTAAACATGCAGTACCACAGAGATCGCCTTCATCAGAGCCATCAGGACAATCCTTTTTCCCATTGCAGAGTTTCTCTGGCTGCAGGCAGACTGAGGTGTCATTAGCACAAGGATATTTGGGTGGTCCACACAAGAAACTGTCACAGTCATCTTCATCTGACTGATCTTCACAATCAATGTCTCCATCACATACCCATGCTTTGTTGATGCATCTCCCTTAAGAAAACAGAAATAGCATCTGTTTGATTTTTGTGATTAGGTCATTGTGATAATGAGCGGCCATTATTGTCTTCAATCACCAGCAGAATTACTTGTCTTCAGCAAAAGAAAACAAAATCTATTTGCTTATTATTTGACAGTTTATTTTCATGACGGCATCTGAATATTTCTTCTCCTGGTCTTAAAGTGCTCTCAGTGTTTGAGCTTTGATATTTTCTTGAGTTTCAAGTCATTGCTCTGCTCTATTTAAAAAGTATATATACATATAGACAGAATTTATAGCATTTTTTATTGTTTTTAGAAGAAAAAAAGAAAATAATTATTGTTTAACCAGCATGATTCAACAGTAACAGTGTGAAACACAAAGAGATCAATGTTCATTGTTACCGTTTTTTTGTTTTGTTTTGTTTTGTTTTGTTTTGTTTTGTTTTGTTTTGTGATGGAGTTTTGCTCTTGTTGCCCAGGCTAGAGGGCAATGGTGCGATCTCCATTCACTGCAACCTCTGCCTCCTGGGTTCCAGCAATTCTCCTGCCTCGGCCTCCCAAGTAGCTGGGATTACAGGCATGTGCCACCATGCCTGGCTGATTTTGTATTTTTAGTAGAGATGGGGTTTTACCATGTCGGTCAGGCTGATCTCAAACTCCTGACCTCAGGTGATCCACCACTTCGCCCTCCCAAAGTACCGGGATTACAGGCATGAGCCACCGTGCCTGGCATTGTTGTCTATGTAGATGTTTCACTGCAAATTATTCCTCCTTTTGAAGTTGTCTTTTACTGACTTCTTATTAATTATCTTTTCTAGATTATGCAATGTTCAGGTGCAATACAAATTTTTTAAAATGTACCTAAAGATAATACTAGTTATTGACTGACTATATACTGGCATCTTATAAAAATAAGTGGGGCAAATACAAGGGAAATGGAAAATATTACATTGTATATATCCAAAAGTCATTATGTATTTAAATGTCTTAAGTCTTACAGGCAAACACATTTTAAAATAATTAAAATATATATGCAAAAATGTTTTATTTATAAAAATATATTAATAATTTTTTTTAAATTTTTATTTATTTATTTTTGAGACGGAGTCTCGCTCTGTCGCCCAGGCTGGAGTGCAGTGGCCAGATCTCCGCTCACTGCAAGCTCCGCCTCCCGGGTTCCCGCCATTCTCCTGCCTCAGCCTCCTGAGTAGCTGGGACTACAGGTGCCCGCCACCGCGCCCGGGGTTTAACCATGTTAGCCAGGCTGGTCTCGATCTCCTGACCTCGTGATCCGCCTGTCTCGGCCTCCCAAAGTGCTGGGATTACAGGCTTGAGCCGCCGCGCCCAGCCAATAATTATTTACATTACTATGTCAAACAAAAAAATATAATCAGTTCCATAACTAAAATACATTTGAAGATATTCAACATTGATAAAAATACTCTTAAAACAAGAATTGACAGATATTTCACTAGATTTGATATAAATGGAGAAACATTATAAACTTTTGTATTAACATCATAAATAAAACCAATAATGTTGTTCTGTAAATACTACCTGCCACAATTAGGTAATAGAAAGAAATGAGGTATAATATTAGAAATGAGGTATAATATTAGAAAACAGTGTCATTACATGTTAGTATAACCATATAATTATGAAATCAATTAAAATTAAATAAACTAAGAATTCAAAAAATAGGTAGCTAGTTTCAAAAACAACAGAAAAATATATTTCATATATAGAGACAGCATATACTAGAAGAAAAGGTCAACTAAAATTTTATCATAAAAATGTATTTTGAGTTAAAATGCACAAGAACTATATAACATTTATACAAATCCAAAATTCTACAAAGAATCTGATAAAAAGGCTTGAATAAAGATATTATTTGGTCTTGGATTAGTAAAGATACTAATTTTCTCTCAATTTAAACAATCCTTTCAAAATAGTAACCATATTAATGAAACCCTCCAAGCTTATTTTAAATTAAAAAATAAAACTAGAAAAATCATTCAGAATCTTACCAAAAAAAAAAAAAAAAGGAATCTTAATGAGTACAAACTCTATATATTCCAACTATTTAGAAGTAGTTTAAGGTAGTAGTAGTTAAAATACATTTTGCAAATGAATATCAATAAAGATATTAATAATTAAAGAACACAGAGACATTAGAAATAGGTCTATCTATGCATATGGCTTTTATATATGAAAAAGTTGGCAATTTAAATAGCAGAGAACAAAATTAATGATGCAGTATCACTTCATTAGCCAATCTGGAGGATAAACAATAAAGCTGAATCTCTACTTGGCTTCTTATGTTATAATATATTCTAGATCTATCAAAGAGGTAATCATTTTAAAATAAGAATAAAAATACAAACGTTAAGCTGAATTTTGTAAACATATTTTATTCCATATTGCAACAACAAACTCCATAGACAAAGTCAGTGGACAGTCAATAAGCCAGAAAAAATATTTCAACCTATTTTTAAAAATATTTCATTATATGACAAAAAGCATATTTTTTAAACATACAAGGGTTCTTTTAAATCAATAAGATAACAATCAATCCAACTGTAAGATTCATAAATAAACGGTTCACAAACATAAGATATTCAATATCCCTTTCAATTAAAAAAGGTAAACTAAAATAACCAGTTGACATCCTTCCTACTCTATTAGATCAATATCAAAAAGTTGGATAATGCAAAACTAGATCTGACAAGGATGTAAAAAGCAGCACAAATGTTGAAAATTGTGATAATCTCTCTCCAGGGCAATGTCAAGAAATCCAGCAAATGAAACATCTGTCAACTCATCACCACAGTAATTCTAATTTTAGAAAATGTTTTCATAAATATATTTGCACAAATGCACAAAGATGCTAGGATATCTACTGCTGTTTTGTATATATTATGGAAAGGAAAGTAACAATTTAAATAATTACTGCAAGCCTGGTGACATCAATTACAATGCATCCATACATAAAAGGTATATGCTTGAATGAAGAAGAATGTGTCAATCTACATAAGTGAATGAAAACTAATTTTCAAAGTTAATTAATTTTAAAAGGCATAGAACTCAGTGTATATAGGCTTTCTGATGTGTTGAAAGGGAGTTAGCTATTTATCAATATGTATGACTATATTTCCATACATTTATCACTTTAAGTACATGGATAGACTTTGAATTTGAATTCTTTCTGGAGGGATACACAAGAAATAGTTTAAATTGGTTGCCTCTGGAAAGAATTAGTTACTGGAAACCCATTGTAGGAGGGAGATGAACTTTTCATGGAATACTCTTATGCTGCTTTATTTTTCTTATACCATATACTTGCGTAACTTTTCCAAAAATATATTGGCTCCTTTAAAAAACAAGATTAGGTATACACATATGCAATTAAGCCTGATTCAACAGCCTTCTCGTAAAAATTATATGTTGAAGTTACTCTGTGCCTTACCCTTTCCTAAGGACTTTCAGAAATATAAGAAAGCATAAAGCCTGATCCCTGTAACCAGGGGCTTATAACCTAGTTAGAAAGAAAAGATCAATGCATAATATATCAGTCGAAAATATGACATTCTATATACTTAAGCATTAAATTGTATGAAGTCATTTGCAAGAGTTCGAGTTCAAGAATATACAAATTCCCATTTTTAGTTTGGTTTATCAAAATGCAACTTCCTTTGGGTTTTTTTGTTGTTGTTGTTGTTTTTCCCCCCGACACATCACCGATCCATGATGGCATTCCCAACCACTGACTCCAAAATGACCTTAGAATTGTTTCAACAGATACATCTATAAATCACTATCAATCTTTTAGAGTAAGAATAGCAGTAAAGCTATTTGCCATCCCTGATATAAATACTGCTTGGAAAAGGTAAACAAAAATAATATTCAGATGACTGTAAAACTTTAAAAGAAATAATGTCACCAGAGATATGAATAAATATGAATACATAGTTTAAATGAATTGTACAAGCTTAAACAGCCCCCCTCTTCCTATTGATTTTTCAGGGGCTGTTTGAAGCTTAATTGCTTCTCCCTGTTTATGTTTGGTTTTAGTTCTTACCAAAAAGTAGACAAGAAGGTGAACCAGGTATGATAAGTTTAATGAATTTCTAACTCATAAACATGAATTAGGTAAAACCCAAAAGCCAATGGCCTCAGTGAAAATACTTTAAACATATTGATTTTTACCTGATTCGTATCAAGATAAATCCTTACCTAATCAAGTACCTAATCAAGTCGTTGGAAACAAAATCTTGAATGACCAAAGATCACAGATTTCTTTGCTTAAGCTCCCTTCCTTATATATAAGAAATAACTAGTTATTAATAGTAAAACATATTACAGAAATACGTATCCAATAGATAGAATATCCAAGAACCTTTAAAGTTTTTTAAACGTGCATGAGTAATCGAAGTAATCAAGTAAATCATTGTGTTTACTAATTCATTTTTAGAAGATGCTGAAAACTAGATTAGATAATTAGTATGAAGTTCAGCTCTACAAAATATTTTCTCATTTATTTATAACGATGTTTTCAACTTGATAACTACATGTCAAAGACTCTATTTTGGTAGCTGTGGTTTTGTCCTTTGAGAAAAGAAAATAAGAACGGATAAGTAACAACAACAACAATTTAAAAAAAAAAAATAATCCCCCAAACCCAGAAATTTGGTTAAACATAACTACAAAGTCAACAGGTATAGAAAAACTTAAGTTTTTATGATTGTAGAAAACAAGCTGGTTTTCCAAAATAAATTGATACAATCTCTTCTAGAGTTTCTCTTTTTTTGTGTTAAACTCTTGACCATATTCTGAAATAGATCTATCTTTTTGTAAACTAACTTGTTTTTAGTTTAATAAAAAGACAGCACATGCTACAATAGGATAATTTCTGTTCTGGGATATGACTGGCAGTTTATATTAAGATACTAATATTAACATGAAGTGAATCTTTGAGAAAGTCTAAATGGATTTACTTGAAATTATATTATTAT